GTCATCTGCCTTGTTTTCTCGTCGCCCTGCAGTAGAAAGCAGAGCTGTAGCTGTCCGGACGGCTTGTTGGATGTGCTTTGTGGCTTCGCTAATCCCTTTTTTCTACTTGTAATGTTTAACTGTTCCTACCTGCTCCCTCAACAAAAGAAAAAAAACATTTTTAGTTTCCTCAGGGTTTAGCTCCAGTGATATTTCTGCTATTTTAGTCTACTTGGCAGTATGGCCCCATGCTCGTTTACACAGCTGTAGATCTTAGTTTCTATCACACATGTGACCACACGTGGCCTGGTATCAGAGTTGCTTTGCATTTATGTCACATGGCTCCCAATAGGATCCGAGCCTGCTGAGGCAAAACGACGTGTTTGTATCATTAGAGTTCCTTCATATTGTAGTCAACTCAGGATATATTTGTTGAATGATTGTTGTTCTTTCTTGGTATAATGAGATGCTGAATTATTTCATTAATTTAAAAAGTCAGTTGGGAAATAACAAATGTAGAAACATTTTTTCCTTTTGTTTTAGAATTTTTGGAGCCAGTATATAGAAGATAGTAAAGCGCTTCATTGTTTTGCTTCTGCATATTAATGCAGTTATTCTCTTGTCCCCAAATGCATGTCAGGTGCCATCTATGGAACGTCCACCCGGAGCAGATGTACACATGTGGGTCTTCCCTCAGTGGGTGTCTGCATGTTCTGGGTGTGTCCGCCCACTGGTGCCCGTAGTGAAGGTGGGGCAGCCGTGGCCATCACAGTATCGGAAGAGGAAGAGGTGGTTGGACTCACTGCTGAAAGGGATTCACACTGTTTTAGACTAAGCATTAAAAGATTTTTAAAAAATAACTCCTGTCACGGACATTTTCAAACACGTCTGTACACGAACACGTAGGAAAGTTGGCAGAACAGCGTATGGGATCCATGCGGCTGTCAGTGCCCGTCAGCACGCGGTGCCGGGCCCCTTTCCTGGGCTGTTCTGAAGTGCATCTCAGATACTTTTCATTTCATCAATAAATACTTAGATAGGAGACGTTTCTAGTATCACAATGAGGCATTTGTTCATTCTAGTACCTTCTGTGTGGAATTGTTCTAGGCTCTTGGGACGTATGGGTGGATAAAATAAACCAGGCCTGTACATTCTTGCATGGAAGACAGAAAACAAACTAGACACATAAATAACCAGAATAAGGGAAAAATCGATTCCATCAAATCTAAAACTTCTGCTTATCAAAAGACAACATTTATAAAATGAAAAGGGAGAAACCATTTGTAAAACACATGTCTGACAAAGGATTTATATCCAGAGTGCATGAGCATCTCCTCCCACTCAGTAATAAAGTAGACAGGTGATTTAAGAAATGGGCAAAAGGCCAACGAGGACTTTGCAAAGTGAGTAACGTAGGCTTCCGCCTCGTCACCTGTCACGGGGTGATGCAGATTAAAGCCGCCCACACCCGCTAGGATGCCTGAAATTTAAAAGACTGACGGTGTCAGATGTGGGCGAGGATGTGGATCAGTCAGAATTCTTGACCTTGCTGGCGGCTGTGTAAACCAGCACGGCCACTTTGAGATTCTCGGCAGGTGAAGCTTCCACATCTTCCCTCTGACCCCACAGTGGTGCCCCAGGTGTTTACACAAAAGAAATGAAGACCTGTGTCCATAAGAGGCATGCACAGGAATATTTACAGCAGCTTCCTCACAATCCCCAGAGAAGGGAAGTAGCTTGGTGTCCCGTCAGCAGAATTGTGGGCAGTCTGCACGCGGAGGGCCGTCAGCACCGGGGTGAGGCCGGTCGCTGATGCACCGCACATGTCGTGTGGAGCAAGAGGACCAGGCCCCACTCCCCGCAAAGTGAATTTATCCTCTGATGTCGTTTACCTAAACTTCCGAAACAGGCAAAACTCATCTACTGTGGAAGAACCCTGAGCAGTGGTTGCCTCGGGGCAGGGTTTACTGGGGATGAAGGGACCTGGACAGTTTTCTGGGAAGAAGGCAGGGTTCTCTGCCTCCACAGGGACAGTCTGGGGACCCTCTGCAGGTCTTGGGCTTCTCTCCCTGGCATCTCTTCGCTCCTTCCCTGGGCCCCGTGGGCTCCAGCTGCCTGTCCTCTCTGGCCTCTGTGCTGTGGCCTGGTCCTTCCGTCAGGCCGTAGGCTGGCAGCCACCTGGTTGGTTTCTCATCTCTCAGGAGCAGTGTCCTTTGGTGCCTCATCTCTGGTAATGTCTTGTGCTGTTGTTTCATAAATTGTCTGTTTTTTCTTTTTTCTTTTTTAGTTGTTTCGTGCATGAGAGTAAATCTAGTCCTGTGATTTTTTTTTCTTGACTAGACTAGATGTCCTGGATTGGACAATATATCTATTTAAAAAAAATTATCTCACCCCCTTACAATGTAAAGGCAGAGATTTTGTGTTTTTCTTTGCTGTGATTCCAGTATCTACAACCAGAAACACTTGACATACAGTAGACACTAAGTGAAGCTTTTGGATCAGACACTTGATTCATTCTTCCTTACTTTCTTTCCTCCTTTTACTGTTCCATTACAGATGTTGACTAGCAAAACCAATGCTTTATCTAAAACAGCATTTTCTAAAGGGTTCTTTGGAATACTGGCCTCCTGATTATAGACAAAGGGTTATGTAATGAAATTAGTTTGAGAAATGCTTATGTACAGAGACATTCTATAATAAAGGAATTCTATGCTCAAACCAGAGTTTTCTAAACTTATTTGACCAGGGATATTTTTTTACCCCTGAAACACTACTGACCTATTATATAATTTGTATTTTCTGGAACATATTCTGAAGAAATGGCGATCTAAACTAATGTTGAACATCTTGTAAGTGTAATAAAACTATATGCATTTATCTTTTTCACTCTTTTACAAGAATGACACAGTATGTTACTAGATGACAATATAATAACAAATACAAGATATTTTTGTATGTGAATTATGTATGACAATTTATATACTTTTAAGCAATTTTGTTGAGGTAATTCACATAGCATACAATTCACCCATTGAAACTATGATTTAATAGATTTAAGAATGTTCACAAACATGTTGCAACCATCACCACTGTAAATTTTAAACATTTTCATCACCTTTTAGCTACCCCCTGTACCCTGTCCTATGCCCCCGTCCAGCCTTAAGGAACCACTGTTCTACTTTCTGTCTCTGTTGATTTGCCTACATTTCTTATAGAAGGAGTCATATAGTATGTGGTCGTTTGTAACTGGCTTCCGTCACTTAGCATAACGTTTCCAAGGTTCATCCATACGGTGGCTTATATTAATACTTCATTCTTTTTGTGGGTGAATAACACTCCTTTGTATGGATGTACATCATTTTGTTTCTCCTTTAATCTGCTGCTGAACATTTGGGTTGTTTCCACTTTCTCTTAATGGATAATACTGCTATAAACATTGATGTACAGGTTTTTGTGTGGGCATCTGTGTTTATTTCTCTTGGGCATGCACCTAGGAGTGGAATTGCCGAGCTGTATGATGACACCAGCTTTAATCATTTGAGGAACTGCCAGACTCTTCCAAGGTGGCATTGTGTGAGGGTTCTGATCCTTCCACGTCCTCACCGTTACTTGTTATCGTCTGACTTTTTGATTCTGGCCGTCCTAGTCAGTGTGAAGTGGTATCGCACTGTGGTGGTGATTTGCACTTCTCTAGTGACCCCTGATGTAGAGTATGTTTTCACATGCTTTTTGGCCATTTGTATATCTTCTTTGGGGAAATGTATATTCAGCTACTTTGCTCATTTTAAAGTTGGCTTTTTAAAAAATTACTGCATTATAGCAGTTCTTTTATATATTCTAGATAAGTCCTGTATCAGATACTGATTTGCAGAAAACTTCTCCCATTCTGTGGCTTGGCTTTTCACTTTCTTCTTGGTGGTCTTTGAATATAATGTCAGTTGAAGTGTTTAATTTTGATAAAGACCAATTTATTTTTTCTATCGTTGCTCATGCTTTTGGTGTTATTATCTTATGTATATTCTCTACTCCCTGCTTTTAGCAGAGTCAGAGCAACAACCTTCATTTGGTTTGTCATTGTTGTGGAAAAAAATAGTTATAACAGTTAAAAATACTTTTCACTAACTTTGAGGCCATTATACTTGATGGCTTTTTATTAACATCAAATGAAATGGTATTTGGCTGAAAAGTCCAATCATTGTGTAAAGTAAATGGAAAATGATATGTTTTAATTGAATTAAATGGCATAATTAAAAATAAAATCAATATTATTGATTTTAAAGCATTTTATTCAATAAAATTCTTTCGGCCACCCTAGAATTTACTTCATTAGTTCTATTCTGCTGCTGACATTTCCCTTTGCCATTAACCTTCAGACAACACAAAATGACTGTTAGATGAAGAAATTGGTGATTGACAGCTGGAACAGGCGTGGCTTTTCATTGGCAAAAGAGCTTGAGCATGAATGGTGATATGTGCTGAGAATGTGCGTGCTGCTGATTAGGGGAGATTTAGAAACATAACGCTGAGATTGTGCTCTCGGGAAAAGGGTGAAGCAGTTGTTTTAAAATCACATCTTTTATGCTGGGACTCAGGCTTCGTCGGGAAGCTAAAGATGGGAAGGGTGGAATTCCTGGCTCGTATCACACCAGTTTTGTCTTCTCTGTTTTACAGAATGGAGTTCACTGAAATGTAATTTGAAAAGAGGGCTTCTCTGTTAAAAAAAAAAGCAGTAAGTTGAAATGTACTGGTAAAGAGAATTGAAACATGGGAGGTTTTTTGCAAGCTGGTTGAGTCGCTTTCTATCAAAGTACCGCGGTATTGCTTCCTGAGTCAGCAGTGTGGCGACATGGTGGTCCCCAAACCTGATTTCATACTTTTCATAAAGGACTTCGTACATGGGATCAGATTCATCTCGATGTAAAGGAAATTGCAAGGCTAATTTTATATTTTTCATCCAGTATGTCACTTTATGTTGACGTTTGGGCGAATAATACACGTGTCTTTTCTTTGTGTTCAAAGGTGTAACACTGTGTTTTTCTTCTTCACAGATTATGAGTGCCAAGTGAGCCACCCTGACACAAGAAGCATCATCAGCACTTCATTACTGATGGATACAGAGAAGAAACCGGAGAACGAGGAGGATGACAATGGCAATAAAGAAGCAAAGGACTCGAGAACGATCTCATCCCATGACGTAGACCTTGGGCCTGTATCTGATGTGATAGCAGATTCCTCTGTGAATTCCACGAGCAAAAGAGGTTTTTCAGAGTCTTCAGACTTTGGCAGTGTCATTGTGGAGGAAAATGGAAATAAACATGCTTCCAAACGGATGAAATTAGCTGAGGTAGAGCCCCCGAAGTCTGGAGAGCAGGGCATCGCCGGGTCAGAAAGTTCTGAGAGCGCAGGCCCAGAGCGGAGTGTCCCGCTGGAGGAGACCAGGACCGAGGCCCTCCTGGGTGACTCAGACGGAGGCACGTGTCTTCCTAGTGCTTTTGTTCCTCCTTGCGACTTGAGTGCCGTGGATGCTGTTCCTATGGAGAC